GGTAACATCTTTCTAGCAAAGGCCATTGAATTGTTTTCCCTCCCCCACATTTCTTATCAGTACCCTAACTTTTTATGTGTGAATCGCAACACATAAGAATGTTCTATGCTTTTAGGCAAGATTTATTTCTTTCCATGTGTGAAAGAATGTGCATTTGATTCAGAAAAGGAGGACGGAAATAACAAACTATTATAGAAAAAAAAATGTGTCCTGGAAAAAATAGAAACTGTTGACCTCAAAATCAGACCACTTTGATTTTGTTGGGCATAAATTAAAGGAAAAGAGAGAATTGACAGTATAATAGTCTACCTCATGAGTGTCAAACTCATGGCGTCACATGGCTATCACATGACATTTTGCTATGTTTTTCCCTTCGTGGAGCTGGGGTCGGTGTAGCCTGCATGTGACACATCTGGCCCATGGGCCAGTGGTGGGATTCAGCCGGTTCGCATCAGTTCGGGAGAACCGATTGTTAACTTTTTGAGCGGTTTGGTGAACTGGTTGTCGGAAGAAATCATTAGGGCAGAGAACTGGTTGTTAAATTATTTGAATCCCACCACTGCCATGGGCCACCAGTTTGACACCCCTCGTCTAACTGCACTAACATGCCTTCCAAGACTCCTAGTTCAGTAATCTCTTTTTTTCTGACATGATGGGCCTCAAAGGGCTAACAACTTATTTGCAATACAAAACAAATGCCTTGGAAAAGCCCACCCAATTTGATTTTGCAAATAAAAGCCACATGATCCAATCAGGTGACTTTCAGATGTATTGGACTACTATTTGGTGGTGGAGAAGAATAGGAGTTGTAGCAATAACACTAACAATAGCACTTAGACTTATAGACCACTTCATAGTGCTTTTACAGCCCTCTCTAAGTGGTTTATAGAGNCTGCCAAAGGTTGAGAAACTAAATGAAACTCCTTTATTGGTATTCAATACAATTTAGCATTGATTCCCTCCAATATATATTTCAAATATATAATAGACTGATCTAATGAAATACTTAGGAAGCAATCATTTTCACTACATGCATAGTATGTTTAATCATACCAGATAACTCCTCTACACCTACCTAAAATAGAGATTAATCACTTGCCGATCTTGCATTCAGCCCTCTTAACTAGGATTGCAAAAAAGAAGAAGACACATGTAAGGATATTTAAGGCAGAAGAAGAAGTTATGTACTCTTATATCTCAAGAACACCAAAGGGGACCAAATGTTTCACCTCTGCTTTAACTTTGTGGAGGGAAAAGCAAATTCCCTTTTGACTCTGGATATGAAATTTAATCTCTCGCTGACTTAGAAAACATGGATGAAAGAGATTTATATTAATGAAAATGCAGGTACAAGCTTTGCCAAAAACATTTAACCAAAAATGTTGTATTTATTCTTTCCATTAAGGCCTCCACTGCCTTATTTTGAGCAATGCCTGGTGTAATGAATCAGGTTGCTGATTAGATGAAAGCACACAGGGGGCATTTATCCTCCATTTCACCCCAAAAGAAGTCATTGGGTAGGAACATATCTTCCTCCTGCCAACTGCGTAATCCAGGTCGGGCTATGAAAACAATCCTTCTCTCTGCTCTTCTATTTTTGTCCTTCAGTGAGCAGAGTTCAAAGTTGATCTAGAATTATACAGAGAAAGCTCTATGACTAGTTCCAAGCTGAATTGATACAAAATTAACTGTGCTGAAGTCACATTTTAGATTTCTCCTTTAGCCTGTTGCCTGAATGTAAATTTTATCATAGTTATACTATCTGGGTGACTAAAGAAATGAAAAAAGGGTCATCAGTTTCTCTTTTTCCAGCTGTTTTGGGTCTGGGAATACATTACTTTTGCTCTTAAGACTCTTATCCCAAATAGCTAGATATTAAATACATTCTCACATTCATCTGTTCCACAAACGCAATTTTTACTCTCTAGCATTCAACCTGTATCCCTTTGTCCTAATTTTTCATCCTATTGTTCTTAACAAGTAGCTTTTTGGACATCAAGGTTTCAAACAAGATCCCTTGAGTTAGCATCAGACTTTTGCAATTCCATAAATGGTATTGATAGAGCTCTATTATTTTATAATACATTTTAATAACAAAGAAATCATAATTCACGAGCCTTGTGACAAAGGATGTGTATGTGTCTCACTTCAAGTGAAAAAGAGAAAGTAAATTGTCCTCCTGTGGGGAGGACCCTGTGAGGTGGGTTGAGTTCAGAGGTGGGTTCCTACCAGTTCTCACCTATTCAGTAGAACCAGTTCGTCAAATCTACCGAACCGGTTAGAAGAGGTTCCACCAGTGGACCCGGAAAGCAGGCCACACCTACAGAAGAGGTTCCAACGTTTTTTGAGACCCACCACTGCGGCTGCCTGAGG